TGGAGATCTTACGGAATTTCTGAACTTATTTTCCATATTTATGGTTTTTTTTTATTGTTAGTTATGGTTTTTAGCATTAAAAGTGGATCTCCCTCTTACAGGGGTGGGCATAAATGTGACACGAAAAACTCTAAGGTAGCTATGCAATGTAATTTAAAAATAAAAATAAGTAGCATAAATATTGTCAAAATCATTTTATTTTTATTTGTATTGTTTGGTTTGATCCCCCCCCCCAACACACTGAAAAACACTGCAATAGGGTTTACAACTGAAGAAATAGCTACGGAAACCTTGAGTCTTCTCGTTTGATTTTTTTCCCCCGAGGAAGAATGAATTCAAGAAATAATGAGCATACTGGCACACTAATATTCATAGCAGCGTTAGTCCCAAGAGACAAAAACAGAAGCAGCCCAAATGCCTATCAACAGATAAACGGACAAACAGTACGGTATATACAGTGGAGAATTATTCAGCCACAGAGTGCAGTGAGTACTGATTCAAGCTGAAACGCAGATGAACCTTGAAACATTATGCTAAGTGACAGAAGTCAGACACAAAAAAGACAAACACTATATGATCCTATGTATGTGAGGTACTTAGAGAAGTCAAATTCATAGAGACAGAAAACAGAACGAAGGGGGTCAGGGGCTGGGATGTGGGGAGGGGAATTAGCATTAACGGTACAGAGTTTCCATTTGAGATGACACCAAGGTTACCGAGCTGAGCAGCGGAAATGGCTGTACATCACAGCACGCTGAGCTGTGCACTTAACAAGCTTTAAAAGGTAAATCAAGTCTAAGATATGGGTTTGACTGTTATACCACCACCAAAACTTTTTAAGTGAAAAATAACAAGCCCAGCGATGTTAAATCATAAGAATAAATAAGGTATTCTGCACTGATGCTGAAGAAGTCCTGTCCACTTAAATATTTATATGCGGGCAATAAAGCATGAAAATATAAATGCAAAACTGGGCTTAAAACACAGAATGTACAATACACAACTGCCAGACACAGAGAACCCCCTGGGTCCCAAATCCAGGGGATTGAGGCTCCAGAGCTAGGGGCCCCGAACAGAACGGTCAGCTCCACAGACTTGACCTCATCTGTGGGAGTGGGGTGGCACTCCCTTGACAGAGGGGACCCTTGAGGGTCTGCTCCACCCATAAAGGAATGTGCACATGCAAAACTTCTTGGGGGCAGCAGCAAAGGAACCATTCGCAGAGAGCGAGAAAGAAAAAAGTCACACATGGGTAATTAACACCCTAAGCCTGTGCCACATATGGATGTATGCTCTAAATTTATCCCACCCGAGGAGAGTGGAAACCCTAAGCTGTAAATTTAGTCTACAAAACACACAAAATGAAGGACATACTCTAGCCCAGCAGGAAGAAACATAGACCGCGTCTATGACAGAGGACATTTGCCCAGTGCCAGCACCAGACTCCCACAGAGAGGAAACGTGGGTGACCAAGCTGAGTTCTCACTAAATAATAAGAGATGAAGTGTGCACACCGCCAAGATCAGTGTCCTCAAAGTCATCAGAACAGCCAGAACTTGCCATGTGACCAAGGGCTTGACTAGGGAATGAGAGAATAGATGGGCTATGAAACACAGTTCAGGGCTGGGGATTTAGCTCAGTGGCACAGCACCTGCCTGGCAAGCTCGAGGTCCTGAGTTCAATTCCTGATGCAAATAAAAACACAATTCAGCTTTTAGAGAAAGAAGGTCAGCCCTAACAGGAAGCTGTGGAGCATGAGGAGTCTCTGTGATACCCAGGAAGGATGCTGCCAAAAATAAGGGTCTGAGCCCAGGAGAGAGGCCCTTGGGAGAGATACCTCAGGCACCCATAGAGGAAGTACAACCAGCATGTCAACCATGAGACTTTCCTGGGTTTAATTTAAGGGCAGGGAGCTTGAAAGAGGCAAAAGCATCAGTTCTGCTTAGATCACCAGCTTGGATTGCAGCCTCTTCCAGCAAAGTGTTCTCAAAATTTCCTACCCCCAGAATATTCCCCAGAGTCCCCTCCTTCGGGGCTTTGCTCAGCCTGTCTTATGGCAGACTTACCGGGACTCTGCTGCAGGCGCCTCCAGGGTGGCAAAGCCACCCCATTCATCTTTCCCTCCCCCACAGCCAGCACAGGACTGGGCCCCTGTGGGAGCTCCATATATGATTGCCGAAATGAAGGAAATTAATCTGAGTGTTCTGTTGTGTCGCAGGATTTCGTGTTATGAATCCATAGGAAATGGGACACAGAAGAGCCTGGAAATCTGGCTGGCTTGCTCATCTTCGAACTTCATTTCCTGCCTCCTTAACCCTGTTCTGTGCTAGGACGACACAACATCAGCTCTCAGACTCGGGCAAGCAAGACCCTAACGCAGCTGAGTATCAGCACCAGCAAGCACTTTTTAGCGCTGCTCTTGTGTGAGGTTGCTCTTATGCTCCTCCTCCAGCACGGTAATTAACTGTTAGTGAGCGCATCTTGTAAGCAGTGTCCCATTTCATTCTCATAACTTTTATTAGAACTCCACTCTGCAGATCAAGCAACTGAGGGTCAGAGAAGAGCCGTGACCTTCCTTGGCCACAAAGCCACAGAGCAGCAAGCCTGAAGCTGTAACTCAAACCTCTTGCCTTCCAAGGCTGTGTTTCCGTCTCTCCCATGGCCTCCCCTTGCTTCCTTCTCACCCTCCTAGCTCACACTGCCCCCTGCTCAGCCCCTCCTGAGCTCACACTGTGTCTGAGTCAGAGACTCCTTAGCAGACAAGTGGGGGTGGGAGCAAGAGAAGGACGGCCAGATGGGTAGTGAGCACAAATCCGGTTTGTCTTTTCGTGGAACGAAGCATGGTCAGGAGTGGGATACACAATCCACAGTCTCTTCAGGGGCTAGTAGGGGCGCCAAGGACCTTTTGGTGAATACACGACTATCAAGAGAACATCACCTCTGGATTGGCCTTGGGAGCAGCTGCCAAGCTGGCTCTTCCTTGGACGTGACAGTGGCTGGGGACACCTTTCCTTTAAGTCTCTGGGTTTCCTGGGCCTAAACTTTATGGGACTCAAGCCATGCCAAGATTTAGTTTCATCTGGGAAGAGAGGCCCTGGCCTGGGAATCAGGAACCGAGGAAGCCTGCGGGCAAAAAGGAGCTTCGAAACTTGTCCTGGGTTTATCCATTTATCAGGATGGGTGCTTTGGCACGGGAAGGACTCTGGACCAAGGAGGCAGGGGGCAGTGACAGGAGTGGAGCAGAGGCGAGGGCAAGATGGCCATCCTCAGGGACTGGGGCTTCTGGTAGTCCAACCTTGACCTGTTAGCAGCCCTGGCTCAGGCCAGGACTGTTGAAAGATGGAGCCAAGAAGGGAAGGAGAAGAGGAAATGAGTGCTGTGCTTTGGATGCAGTGTCCTCTAAAAGTTCCTGTGCTGGAAGTTTGGTTCCCAGTGAAACAATACTGAGAGGTGGTGGGGCCTCTACGAGGCGGAGTCTAACAGGAGTTGATTGGCTCACAACTGCCCTTGTGAAATGATTGATGCTGGTCTCACGGGGTGAGTTAGGCCTCAGAGGAGTGGGTAAGTTCCTATGAGAGCAGGTTATCCTAGAAGGAGGGAGCCCGGGGCGGGGGATATGGCTAGTGATAGAATTCTTTCCTTGCATGCACAAGGTCCATCCCCAGCACTACAAAAAAGAAGAAGGAAGAAGGATGAAAGAAGAAGGAGGGAAAAGAAGAGGAGGAGGAGGAGGCGGCGGCAGCCTGGGCCCCCCTGGTCTCCTACTTCCTCTTTGCCATGTGACCTCTGTTAATACCATTTCCCGCTTTCTCACCTGCTCCCACCCTGTGATGCTCCCTGCCATGCTGTGACCCAGGCAGAGGCCCTCTCCAGTTGCCAGTGTCACCTGTTTGAATTTTTCAGCCACCAGAATCAGGAGACACACAAACCTCTTTTCTTTATACATTACCCAGCGTCAGGCAATCTGTCCTAGCAACACCAACAAGACCATCAGGAAAAAAGAAAGGAAAGAGTGTCACAGAGGGTAGGGGAAAATTGGCCTGAGTATTACAGGCTCAAAAGTTAGCATCATAGATGGGGTTCTAATTGTGGCTCTGGTTCTCATTTCAGTGCCACATTAATCGAACGCAACCCTCAGCTGAGGACCTCTGGGCCTCATGTCCCCACATGTCAACTCAGATTTTATGGCCTCCTCAACTGTGTCCTCCACTTGATTTTCAAAGCCTGAGCTCATCACCTTGATCCTCTCTCCTGCCTCCTTCTGAAAGACTTGCCTCAATCCTCTGGGCCAGCAGCCCTCAGCTTGGGTCTGATGCCTCTGACTGGACATACGATGTGTCCTGAATTACAAGGCAGCAGCCTCCACTGAATTCCCTGTGACCCCTCCTGCCAAGCACTTACCCACCATAGATGCTCTCTGCACATTCTGTTGCTCATCTTTCAAATGGACAGATGCATAGATGGTTGGGTGACTAAATATATAAGCCTATTTTATGTGCCGATCAAGCCCTTGGCCCAAAGTCCCTTCATATAAAGTTTTCAGTAGATGAATCTCCAGCCATCCACTCTTCCTTCAACAGCTCAGTCTGAAGAAGTCCGCGTCCCCACTGCTGTCCTTCTCCCATAAGAACTCAGTCCCTGTCCCTGCTGAAAGGCTCCTCCAGGTGCCACCTCCCTTACCCATAAGATTTCAGTCCCACAGACCTGGAACCAGAAGGTGCTTAGACCAGCACCCACCTTTAATTCTCTATGAACCTGAGTGGTCATTCTACAAACAGAAGAAGCCCTATAGAAATACTCTCAAGTTTTTTTGCTATCTAAAACCCCAAAGATGTCCCCGAAAGAGTTTCTGCAAGTGACAGGATTCAGGGATGCTGTGAAAAAAGGCACCCAGACCCATGACTCTTCATAGAAGACTCAAGTCCAAGCCCCAACTGGCAGCCCCACCCCACCATAAAACATGGCTGTGCACACCTGATCAGGGAGAGACGGACTCTCACCTGGAGGCTCATCGAGCTTCCCCATGGTCTCAATCTGTTCCACCAGGTCGTTTGAATTCCACTGGCTCATCCCGATGAGGATGGCATTCTTTCCTTCCGCCATCTCCTCTGTGGGAAGAAGCAGAGAGGGACATGAGCGGGCAGGGTTCTGCACATGCGGCCGAGGGCATGAGTGCAGAAGCAGAGGGCACTCTCTTTGTCCATGAATTGAGGTAGACTTTAATTACTGAAGTTACAGATGGAAACTGTAAGAAGGTATCGTTCTTGTACCCACTGGGCCCCCAGATATCACAGCAAAAGAAAGTACCAAGAGAGCAGTCACGAGAGAGCTGAAAACCCATAGAAGGCTCCATTCCTGCTTCAGAGTAACAGTTCTTGGGAACTTGTGTTTGAGGAAAAAGGGAAAACCCCCTCGCTTGACAGTGTGTCTTCTCTGGGAGTGCTTTGGACTTCGAGTCTCAATTTTCCCATCAGTAAAACACAGCCGGCAATGTCCAACTTACAGAATTACAAGAATTAGGTGAGATAATTGGTTTAAAAGTCTTAGGGCATATTAAGGGCTCATAGATAACCACAGTGGTTATTTCTTCACATTACAGGCTGTGAGTCAGTCTGGGTTGAAGGGAACGAGAGCAGCACTGGGGAGAGCAGAAGCCATATTCCCACGGCACCCTGAAGACAAGTCCCAGGGTCCCCCACCCAGATGCACAGATGGTTTACATCCGAAAGGGACTCTTCTTCAAGGGCAGGCTCAGAGTCATGGGTGCGCCCACCTCTTCTCCATTCCCAGAGAAGCAGGGCCTCAGGTCTTTACACTTTCTGCTCCTCCAGAGAAAAGACATCAAGGACACTGAGGCAGATCCCAAGTGCATGATAATCAAGAATAAAGAATGAAGCCAGGAGGCTGAAGCAGAAGGACTGCAAGTCCAAAGCATGTCTGGGAAACTTAGTGAGGCCCTGTCTCAAAATAAAAAGGCCTGAGTACCACTTGGGCTACTCTTTTCAGATCACAGCACACAAGATATTAACCATTGTTATTCTCTAATTATTGAGTTACAAATTTTGTCCTATTTTTTCATAGAAAAGAGCAGACTTTCTCTTTTTCTTCATTAATATCTACTTGTGTTGCATTAAAATTTTAAAAAATGTTTAAGTCTGGGAAGGTAGCTCAAGGCAAAGGCTCTGGGTTCAATTGCAAAAAAGAAAAAGATAAAATAAATAAATAAAAGGGAGCTAAGAGTGTGGCTCAGTGGTAGAGCACTCTTGGGTTTGATCCAAATTGAAATAAACAAGTAAATGCACAGGTGACCCCAGTTTCACTGGAAAGAACGTCACCCTGCAGTGGGGACAGACCGCTCCGGGAGCTGTCCAGCGTTCTGACTCATTCAAACTCCCTACTCTGGATCCCATGCCTAGCTAGGACACTCTTCCTGCCTTATTTTTCCTTATTTCTTTGATTGACCTAACAACACTTATGAAGCCCTTAGTGCCCTGTGAGATTGGTATAAGTGATTTATAACTATTAATTCAATGCTCATAGCATTGAATACTAAAAAGGAAAATTATTACTGTCTACTTTATAGACAGGACAACTGAGGCACAGGGTAGTTGAATGATTCTTACCCTAGGACATTGGTCAGGGCCAGGATTCAAACCTGGATGTACTATTCCAAGAGCCCTGAAATCCTGCTTTCCTGATAGCCTGCCTTGGGCATCCTGCACTCCGCTCAATGACCGCTCAATGCTCCAGCCAGGCATTACACACACCTAGTTTCCTAAGCCTGGGACGCTCAGTCTGGGGACCAGCTCACACCTAGCAGCAGCTTTCTGTCCTGGGAAGAGCTCTGACCCAGTTCCAGTGAAGATTATGCTACCTGTGAGGTTTGTTATCCACCATCTAATTCTGTTTTCTTATTCCTTAAATGGCAACAGTATCTCTAGTGCTAATACTTTCTAGCAAGCCACCATGGAGACATACAGTAAGTAAGTCCAAACAAAACCACACAAACAAACCGAAACGTGCATGCGCATACAGTGACATCATTCAGGGAAGCACAATTGTAATGAGGTTAAGAGTTCAGTTTCAGTATTAAATTGACTATTTTCAATCCTGCACCCACAGCTGTCAGCTGAACAACCTTGGACAACCTTTATAAACCTCAGTTTCCTCGTCTACAAGATGATACCAGATTGTACCTGTATCCAGGGTAGCTGTGAGGGTAACTAAAAGGGTGGGTCACATATTCACAAGAGCTCCAAGCACACTATGAGAGCACCAATGAAGACAATGTCACATCAGGGTACCACCAGCAGCAGCATGTGACGGTGCACCCTAACTCTCTTGGTTCCAGAAACCCAGTGTCTGATCTGTGCCCATTCTGTCCCAGCTCCAGAGGCGATAATCAGGAGCAGCCTGAAACCTGCCTTGAGTTCCCTGTCTCTCAGTTCCATTATGCAGGCAGGCATCTACCCACTCGCTCATTCTAGCCCATTGTACAGGGAGTGGGTCCCCGCACTTACTGTGTGCCTGGTCATGCGAAGGGTACAACAGTGAACAACTCTGACCCGGGAAGGTGAGAGCGCCAGGCTCAGGTCCAGAGCTGTGTATGCAGCAGGTGCTCGTCACGTGCTAGGTCCTGTTCTCTGCAGCGCAGGAAGCTCTTTCCTGGGCTGGGGAGGCCACTGGTGCTCTGTGGCGGTGGCAGCCAGGGCTCTGGAGCTCTGTCCATGCCTACCTCCCTGCATCTCTTCCATCTCTCTGCCTCATCTTTCACTCTGGGTCTTTTGTCTGCATTTGTATCAATTATCTCTCCCACAGATCCCCAGGGAGAGAAGCATCTCTCTGTACACCTTGGGTCTGATATTTCTGGATCCTTCTCTACATTTATCTCCTTGATTCTTCTCTCTCTCTCTCTCTCTCTCTCTCTCTCTCTCTCTCTCTCTCTCTCTGTGTGTGTGTGTGTGTGTGTGTGTGTGTGTGTGTCTGTCTCTGTCTCTCTGTCTGTCTGTCTGTCTCTCTCTCTCTCTCTCTCTCTGCAATCTAAACACCTCTTTTGGAGCCCTCCAGGTAGAGGTGTCCTGTGGCTCAGCTCTGAGACCCCATTCCTTCTCCCTCATTACAGTATCACCCTTCATGGGAAGCCCTGAGGCCATAGAGAGTACATCTGGACAACTGTCCTGGGTATCAACTTTGCTTTTCATCTTTTCTAACTGCTATCTATAAGTTGATTTTCATTTTCCACGGGCATCTGATGTGGACATGGTCTAAGCATCTGTGTCACTCCACAAAACCTCAGCCCCTGCCTAGATGCTCTAAGCTGAGCCTCACCCACTGACACCACATCATGGCCTTGGCCTCAACCTGACCCTGACCCGGACCCTGGCTGAAGCCTGGACCTGCCCTTTAAATGCCACCTCCAGAACCCTAAGGAAATCCTTCCTCTGGCCAGGGCCTCAGTTTCGGTGGAGTCTCAAGACTCGGAGAGCTATCTTGTCCTATTTAGAAAGCCTCAACTCCTCCAGCACATGGGGGCAAGGCCTGAGTTATCCCTTCTGAAGGACCCTCCACTTCCACAGTGGAGGCCCACACACTTGAGCCATTCTTTCCAAGGACCTCAATTTGCTGTGGTGCCTTTGGGACAAAAACGCCTGCACCTTGCACTGGTTAACATTCCCCTCATCCTCCACCTACAGCCATCACCACCACTTTCTCCCCATCATTTGTGGGGGTCCCCACTCAGCCCTTACCCAGAAGCCTCTGGAGCTGCCTCCACGTCACCCATGTCTCCACTTTCCTCCCTTGGTGGGGGGAAAGCAGTAGGGGCAGGGCGTGACATGCCTTCAGGTTATGTCTGTGATGACCCACTGCCCAGTAACGATCACCCAGCTTCCACAGCGGTTTCCTTCCACTCCACTCATGAGACAAACCATTCCACGCTGCCATTTTCTAGAAAAGTTGGAGACTTACAGAGTCAACACTTGCTTGATGTCAGACAGCAACCAGTTAATGGCACAATCTCAGTGAAGATCTGATCCTCTAACCCCACTTTTCTGCTCTTCTCCCCGCTTGGAAGGACCTCCATTTGCTGTGGTGCCTTTGGGACCACATGTAGAAAACCCTGTGATCACAGCAGAAGCCCAGCCCAAGAGGAGAACGGGGCATGTTCCTTATTCTCTAGGAGATCCAGCCTTGCCTTCAGTCTCTGTCCCTAAAATGGGATTATTTAACCCTTCATCGCCTTCCTCTCCTGCCTGCCACGGGAAACCAGGATAGAAGCCGTAAGTGAACTGTACACCCAGCATCCAGCTGCACATGCTCCAGCCTTGTACCACGCGCGGGAGGATGAGATCAGCCAGGACTGGACCGTGAGAGTCAGGAAATGGGGAATACACCAGGAAGGTGAGGGCAGAAGTTTCCCAGCCCACAGAGGTCCCCTGTCCTACCAGGAGACCGAGTCCCATGTCTTGCTCTTGGTTAAGTGCCCAGGGCTACATGTACTCTGAAAATTAACTCTGGGTCCACTACTACTGTCACTACCACCACCACTGTCCCTCCAATGTCTTACTCCTGCTTATACATATTCATGAAGGGAGAGGTTGCTATTTAGATACTAGAGAGGAAAACCACATGAAAACAAGTACTTCCCATCAAAGTGAAGAAACAGACTTGGACACTCTGGTCAATAGGCCTGGCAAGGTTACTTGGGTGCTCCGTGGAATGTCTGGAGATATAAAAAGACTTCAAGGTCAGGTCCAGCATCTTGTTGCAAAAGCACTGCTGCACAACTGGCCCAGGGGCAGGCACAGCCTTAGGGACAGGACTGGACCAAGAACTCAGATCTCTTGCCTGCTGATTCAAGGCATTTTTACGTAGGTAAGTTCACGGCAAAACCCTTTGTTGCTAGAGATGTAAGCTAGTTTTAAAACCCCAACTGGAGTACGCTTCATATTTAAAAGGAAAATTAAAGTCAAGGATGCATCTGATCCTTTCCAAAGGAAGATACACTTTGTTACAGAAACAGACCAGAACGTGACCCGTGCTTGACATATCCAACCACATCCCAAATAAAGTCGTCTGATGCCAAAGCGGCCTCTTGCATTCAGCCTGTCATTCTTTTAGGGATGGAGACTCCAAAGGACATTTTCACTTTCACTCTGGAGTTTAGCTCTCACAGGTCGAAACTATGAAATCTGGGCTTCCTAAAAACTAGCCTCCTTCCTGAGCCTACTAAGCTCTCCTAACCAGCGTTTCTAGCTAGGTTACCTGTCACCCAGAAGTCTGCATCACACACAGTAAGAAGCTTGGTCACTCAAGGTTCAAGCATGGTTTCATTTGGCAGGTCCATCTGCCAGATGAGGCTCTGACCTTCTCTGAGACAGGGACGGGGTGCTTTGGGCCAATCTGGACAGAAAAGCACACCCAAGGATACTGTCTTCTGTACCCCAGGCTCCAGGGCTAATACAGCAGACCGCAGCACTAGGGTCCCTCCTGGCTTACTCAGGCCATACCAACTTTGCTGCATTCCCAAGGGTGCCAAGCTTGGTCCTCCTGTAAACCCTCTACCCTGGCTGTGCCACTCTCTAGAACAGATCCAGACCCACATCGTGTTACGCAGTGCTCAACCCGGGCTGTCTCCCCCAGGGACCTCCTTCAGTCACCCAATCACTGTCACATCCCCTTCATTAGAGGGGAGGGGAAGGGTCCTGCCTTTTAACAGCATTAGAATTATAGTGGACACTAAACAGGCTGCACATAATTAAAACGCACACTGTGGTAAGCTTTTACCTATGTCAACACCTATGAAATCTCACCCCAATCAAGACGGTGAACATATAGCCATCACCCCCAGAAATTTTCTCCTGCCTTTGTTCTCCCTCCCTCCCACACTTCCTGCCCTAGGAGACTACCAACCCACATCTGCCAGGACTGGTCATATCGTGGAATCTTACAGCATGGGCTCTGTTTCAGTCTAACTTTTTTCACCTAGTATGAGTATTTGGAGATGTGTCCAGACTTGCAAATACTATCAGTTTGTTCCTTCTTGTACCGCAATTTGTTTTTTCATTCATTCATTGATGTAAATTAAGTTTGGGGCTAGAATTTAAAGAAACTGCTAGAACAGTCATGGCCCTGTGTTTTCTTAGGTAACTGCTCAGGAGTGGGAGGGCTGGTAGTTAAGGATGGTAACTTTTAAGTAGCTGTGGTCTCCTTTCCTGTCACTGCAACCAGGGCCTGGAACCTGATGGGCAGATGCCCAGCAAGGTTCTGTTGAAAGGGTGGAGGAAGGGAAGTGGGACTGGAGTCCTCACTCGGCCTCTTTCGTGGCCCTGCACAGGTTTCCCTGCTTCAGGTCCCCAGCGGGTAAAATCAGCCAAGATTGCTGGGGTGAAAGACCTTGAGGGGCCTCCCAGCTCTGAAATGATCTGGGTTTGAGGCCACATTCCAGAAGGAGAGTCTGGGGCTCTGGAGGAGTGAGGAGAAGGAAAGAAAGAAGTAGTAGGACAAAAAAGGAGAACAGAAAGTAGAGCCACCAAGAGAAGAGAATGGGGGTGAGGCCAGTTTCTGTCCCAGTCCGATCAGGGAGGAGAAGACAAACTGAGCAACCAACACGGGGGGAGCAGGAAGGGCCCGCAGCTGCATGGAGGGAGAGCAGTGAGCAGGGCCCCCAGGGGCAGAGCTGAGCCTCGTGTCTCCCAGCTAAAGGCACCATGTCAGCCGGGAACACAGAGCCAGGATGAACTGCAGCAACGTTTTAAAGAAAAGTCTCTGGAGCATCAAAATCCTAAAGCTGTGTGTGGCAGCCTCTCCATCACACCTAATGGGAGACAGAGACTGGACTTCACATGGCTGACCTGGGGCTTGTGCCAGGAAGGGGTTCGCTACCCACAACCAAGAACGGGGGAAGCTGGAGCAGGAACAGCTCTCCACCCAGCTACATATCCCTGAAGTCACCCAAACTAGGTATTCTCCATCTGGGGAGGCACAGAACTGATAGGAAAAGTGAGACCTGGAAAAGAAGGAGTACCTGCCTGGTATCACAGAATGAGCCCACAGCATGGCCGAGACCCTGTCCTAAGTGTCCTGCTCTGGTCCAGATGTTTTCCTAGCACTTCTTCTGTTTGCCTTTCAAGATTCCTTGCCAGGTGCTTCAAGCTGCCCCGTCTTGCGGATAAATCAATGCCCTTGGTGTGGTGATTCCTCAGAGGGACTGGGAAGCCCCCGGGCTGGGGTGCAGAACATCAGTGCTCTTCCCCATCCCACCCAGCCCCGCTCAGCATGGCTAATGAGGCTCTCTGGGCCTAAATTCGAGATTGATTTCCCTCCTGCTGCCCACTCATTGGCCCTGTGCACGCACACCCTAGATGGTGGCTCAACAGGGGCCCGCCCAGGTAATGCCCCATCTCACAGTTCCCAGAAAGCTTCTGGTTCTGACAACCCAGCCTAACCCTCATTCTGCATCTTGTTCACCCCCTTGACCCAGAGCTAATTTCCTGGCCACCGTCCACCCCACAGGCCCTCCCCTGATCCCCGCAAAGGCACCTGAAACACTCCCATCTATGGGATCCCCTCCCATCTACGAGGGTGACCAGAAGGCACCTGCCTGCCACTGTCACCACAGACCCTGTGGCCTCGTTTCTCGCTCCTCACCCATTGCTCAGCACCGCACTGGCACAGGTCTTCCTTCAGGGCCCCACATGCTCCCTCCTCTTCTCCACTTCAGGGCCACTAGACCTTCTATCTGTGTGTCTCTTCACCTGCTCGCCACTCAGCTCCACCTACACCAGTGTAGACGTCTTTGCCTCATTCTCTCCTAACAGCTGGTGCTGTTTCTACTTGACATCACCCCGCCCATCAGTGATGGCATGTCCCTTTGCGTCACTGTCTGGTGTTTACTCCTGCAGTAGACTATAAGCTGATGGGGCAGTGACCATGCTCCTTGGATTCCACAATGTCTTGTGCTCCCACCACAACTCTTGGACATATTAGGGACCCAACAAATATTTCAGAGTGGATGGATGGCCACTGAGCTCAGGCTCTGGGCTCTCATCCTGCGCAAGTCTGCGTAGGGAAGAATACTAATTCCCACCAAGAACCCTCTTCGTGGGCTTCTAGGGAGGTCACCCCACCAGGTGTGAGGATGGAGTCACTCACCTCTAGCATCGAAGAATTCATCATCCGAGCTCTCCACTGAGTCTCCAAGGACATTCCGAAGGTGCCAGGGGGCACCGCCGCCCAGGGAAGGGCCACCTGGCAAAGGGAGCACACTCATTAGCCAAGCCTACAGCAGTGTCCCAGCATGAAAAAGGTAGCCACAGACTCACAGTCAGTCATATCCTGCATGTCGGAGCCCACTCCTTCTGAGGCCTCACACTTCACCAAGGGCACCCACTTTCAGCTAAGTTCCCGGCACGCTGTCTGTGGAAGTTCCATAGGGCAGTAGGTCCATTCTGCATTGATTAACACTGAGGCTGCAGGGAGCTAAGAGCAATGGTGGCGAACCTACGGCACATGTGCTGCAGCGGGCTATGTGTTATCACCACTGAAAGCTCTAGAAGTGTCACCCTTACTGGCTAAGAGCCTTAGCCAAGGTGACAAAGCGTATCAGTCAGCATGAGATAAGCTGAACTCGCTGCTTAAAAGTAACAACTGTTTATTTCTCACTGACACACCACTCAGAAGCCGGCTCTGTTCACTCTGGTCGTGTGAAAGGACCACGTTAAGATGCTACCCTCTCGGCATGAGATGCCAAGGTCTGCTAAAGCTAGGGAGCAGAACACAGAAAGTCACACCTAGTCTTAAAGGCTCCTGCCAGAAATGGCACATCTCTGCTCACTTTTTTTTTTTTTTTTTTTTTTTTTTTGTCTTTTTCCTTTTTATCAGTACCAGGGATCAAACTCACGGCCGCCTGCTTGCAAGGCAGGCGCTTATGCCGCTGAGCTAAATCCCCAGCCCCCTCTGCTCACTTTCTAATGGCCAGAGTTGGCAAATCACATGTCACGCACACAACCAAAGTTATTTCCACAGTGACAAGTGCTTCTGCTCCAAGACTTCTGCTTTCCCTCTTCTGCCACTTTCTCCTCCCACAAGTGTCTCTGTGTCATTACAGCTGAAAGACTGGACAGGCACGCGTGTATGGGTCTGTGTGACCTCAGAGGCCACGTGATTCAGCCCAACCCCAGCCCAACTCTTCAGCAGCCCTTGGTCACCCTTCTAGTTATAAATGTTGGGCCACCAAGGTGTCGCCCTTTCGTCTCCAACTCATAACTAATATTGTTCTCTGATAAATCCTTGTTGCTATGACTCTCCTCTGTGGTGAAACTATACACCCAAATGTTTTCCTAAATGCATGTTTTATCTTGCTTGCTGTTATGCTCCTTGCTTTTAAACAGCTTGCCTGCAGCGGTTTTTAAGTTGTACTCTGAAATTTGTTTAACAGAGATATGAGGTCAACCCTGCCATTGTGAAGGGGCTGCTCAGAACAACCCGAAGGGACCCAGTTGCAGATACTTATAAAAGAAGAACCCACAAAAACGGGCATGGAGGGGCTGGGGATTTAGCTCAGCGGCATAAGCGCCTGCCTTGCAAGCAGGCAGTTGTGAGTTCGATCCCTGGTACCGATAAAAACGAAAAAGACAAAAAAAACAACAACAAAAAAAAAAAAACGGGCATGGTAAGCTGCAGCCTTCATGTGGCCTGGATGAGACATGCTGCCTCCACCTCCTCCTCCAATGTACTGATTTTCCAGCAAACGGCAAATGTCCTATTGCAAAGACAGAAACAAACACTGGACAGTGTCTTGAGAGGGCTCTGAAGGGGAGACTGCTGGGAAGTGGTGCCAAGAGGCCTGAAGCTTGAACGATGAGGAACACTGAGTCACACTAAGTACACACACACAGGGTGTGCACTCCCACTCACGCACAGATGCACATGGGATGAACAGGCAGTGTGCAGCCAACGGCCTTCCTGCAGGAAAGAACCACAAAGGCAGACTGGACATGAGACTGGCTGTCTGAGAGGCAGAAAGGAACCCACAGGGCTGACGCCACTGATGATGGGATGATGTAAAAGGGGAGACAAGAGAAGAAACAGTCAGACCAGGTAAGGGGTGGCCTGTCATGGAAGGAAGCTTGAACAAATGAGTTCTGAGTTTTCCTCCTGCCCCTCCCAGAGTCTATCACCTGCATGCCTCAAGAAGAAGGGGTACAGTTGCCCAAAAGAGGCAGAGAGCCTCCCAAGGGAGGTGCCCTAGGGAGGCGAGCAAGACTGCTCAGGGTCTCTAGAATCAGATGGGTGTGAAAATCCCCAAACAGTGAGGATGGGGGTCTAGAGCACAGTGCCCTTGCAGTGGACCCACATCCTATACTTTTCAGTATTTTCTGGGTTCAAGATGTGAACCCATGTGGAAGATGGCCAAAGAATATTAGTGAAATAAGTCGGTCAATAATCAGGACCTGCTTAGCACACACAGGGAGGGAGGGGCAGCAGACAGTCTATTGGCTGCTTTACCAATCCAACTGAAAATCACTAACCAAGCCTAGCGGAGCAGCCATGAGTTCACTTACAGCAAGGGAAACGGGTTCGGAGTTGTAAGGCATGTTCTCGAGGGCACAGAGCTAGTAAATGACAGAGGCAGGATTTGAACACAGATCCACCTGGCTCCAATACCCATGCTCGGAACCATCTCTGTGTTGGAGCTCAGGGCAAGTAACCACTGACTTTTCCTCTCTCTGCTACCTGCTCTTCTGGCCGATGGTAATCAGCCCCCTGCTATGGGCCAACTGTACACAGTTCAGAAGCCTTCTTTTAGCTCCTCACTGGTCCCTGGCTCTGAGGGCTCAGCTGAGAGCTCCTAGTTCTAGAACCATCTGCCCATCAGGTCCAGCTATCTTCATGCCTGTGAAAACATCCCATGTAGAGGTGTCTAGTATTATACTGGGCTCACATGGCTGTGTGTGTATGTGTGTGCATTCCTCGGGGAGATAAGCTTTCCACCTGCCACTCACCCCTTCCAAAGACCTCTCCTAAGCCACATGAAAATCAGCCCCCAGCTGCAGATGAGAATTTAGCACCCAGGTCAGAGTACGGGCTTAGGGGAGGCTGAAGCCTGGATTCACATCTGTCACTTACTGTGTATAAATCCAAAGCAGGTTCTCTTCTCTGAGACTCCAACTTCTCTCTAAAACAGGCATCGTGATCCTTGCCTCACTATTAGAAGATTTCACCAAGACCAGCTGCCAAAGTGTCCACCCCAGTCTGGCCCTCAAGAGATGGTGGCCCTCCTCAGCTACACAACCAAGGCTTGTGGCTGGGTGAGACCACCTGAGAGGCCTCCAACAGCTGCCAGGGCCCTATCCAAGGCCCCTTCTGTGTCCTCCCAGGCTCTGCCTACCTCTTCCTGAAGACCACATTGATTTAAAAACCTTGAATATGGATCAAAGATAAGACAGCACCTAGCACTTCCCAGGGCAAAACGCGATCCAGCGCTCCTCACCTGCGCCTGCACAGCTCCATGCGGAGCCTGCAGTGAAGGGGTTCTGGCCCATCTATCTTCAGGCCCACTGACCTGCTCTGGGTCCAGGGCAATGCCACAGGCCACCTCTCAGGCCTGCTTCTCCCCAGCAGGAGTATGGCCAGAGATCTCAGCTCAAATTGTTGGCTCCATCGTCCTACCTTCCCCAATTCTGATGGCTGATACATCGTGTCAGCCTTAGAAGTTTAACTAAGCCATTCATCAGGGAGCCAGAGTCCTCACTATGTAAGCACCGTTATCCTGTGCAAGGGGAGCGCAGGGGGATGGTATGGGTGGTATACCTGCCTGTTTAGAATACAAGGGAGGAAAAGAGGCTTTCTGCCCACTTCTGCTCTTGCACTTTTGCTGTCTTCTACTGACCCACAGTGCTGCTCCTGTGCCAAGCCACCCCTGCTTTGGAGTCAGCTGACTGTGGACTGAACTCTACACAAACTGTGAAGTAAATAAATCTTTCCTTCTTTCATTTTGGGTGTCGGGTATTTTGTCCAGCAATGAGACAAAAGTAACCAAGACAGAATTTGGTACCAGAGAAGTGAGGTCATTGCTGTGACTTTACCTGACCATGTGGTTCAGCAGCCTTTGGGAATGGCTTGTGGAAGAGTTTGGAAAGGTTTGAAGATGTTGGCTGAAAGAGCAGAGTTGACACACCTTAGGCTGTACTATACGGGAGATTCTGGCCAGAGCTCAGAAGACCAGAAAACCAAAAAGATCAGCTCAGGAGGTTCCGATGGGAAGAAGGACTGCACTGGTTGTTGGACTCCAGATAATGTGTGTTATGGCCTGGCAGACAGTTTGTCTACATTTTGCTCCTGTCCAGAGACTTTGCCTGAGATGGAGATTATGGGCAGTGGACTATGTAATCTGGGAGAAGAAATTTCAAGGCCGTTTAATGTTGAGGCTGTGGCATGGTCATTGGTGGGGGCTTTTAGCCAGATTTATGTTGAGAATCAAAAGCAGAGAGCCTTTCAAAATGTTTTAAAGTGTTGTGAGCTTGGCCAGAAAAGAAGATACAGTAAAGCTGTGGGCTGCAACAGCTGAGGAGGTCTCTATTGTTGAGAAGGAACAGAACAGCAAAGATGGCCTGAGAGCATCACAAGAAGCAGCAAGTCACACCCTTTTGCTTTGAGGAGAAAGCTGCAGAGCATAAGGTTCCACAATGGTGACAGCCACATCACCTTCAGAATGTTGGCAGCATCGAAAATTTGTTCCTCAGAATTGGATTCAGAGTGCCCAGCAGGGCAGGCACTTGACCCCTACAGCCAAGAGAAAGTCTGGCCACTGCACTAACTGGCAGCAAACGCTGGCATCATCCACATAGTGCTGGTTTTAGGTGCATGCAAAGATCTCAATTCAGAAGATGGGAGGCTAAGCAGTGTGCCCCTGAGAGGGCAGTGTGTGAAGCTGTGAGTGTGGAGCTGAAGATGTAGTGAAGACCCCAGAAGTTTCTAAAAGCTAGGAAAGCACATTATCTAAGGAAAGCTGCAAGGAGAAAGCACAGGAGAGCTGAGAGAGAAGCCGTGGGAATTGTAACCACCAGAAGGACCACAGAGGTGGAGTCACTCAAACCCTTTGGGGCTCACAATTTGCCACAGATTGCTTCAGATACTGGGCATGCAACTACAGGACTTAATGTTTGCCCTGCTGGCTTTGTGGACTTGCTTGGCTCCCATTCCTTTGTATTCCCCTTTGTAACTTTTGGAATGAAAATGTTTATCTT